CGGAAAAAAAGAGAGATAAAAGGAAAAGAAAGAAAGAAAATGTTGTACCTATAAATGATATGGGCTGGAAAGACGAGATCCAGTTGTCCTACTGACTATTTAATGAATTATAGGTGTCACGCCTAATGCTTTCTTTATCACACAGAACACGAGCTAAGTAGGGTATGGTTGAGTTTTTGTACTTGCTGGTGAGAGCATATAGTTTTCTATATAGGCTTCTGGTTTTGCCTGATGAGATGCAAGGGGAAAGTTGTGAGTGAAGAGGGTGGTGTGAGTTAGATAAAATGGATTTGGCCCATTTTTCGCATGAGTCCATGTGCCTGTCGACCAGAATATTAACAAGCTGGTTAAGTGGCACGTTGCTTACCCTGCTGACAACCTTTAACATCCTGCGTAATATGTTATACTCTTTCTTCAGTAGCCCGGGAAAAACTAAGGGGGAAAAATGGAGAATAATACGCAGAATGCGAGAGTTAACGAATTGTAGGAGTAAGGGTTCGGTTATACCAGAATTGAGTCATAAGAAAAAGGCACAAACAGGGAAGAAAATTTTCTTTTCGACGATTCATTTTCATGAGCTGTACAATCGTAATTATAATTAACAATTATAATTAACAATTTACTTGCTCGTGTGGAGCAAAGTATATTGGCCGTACGCAACGTCAAGTCCACAGACGTATTCTGGAACACTGCCCAGCTTGGTTGGCCAGAGGAGAAAAGAAGAATAGCAACAGCTCGATCCTCGAACACCTTGTCATCTCTGGACATCGAGCACCCCCACATGAATGCTTCACAGTATTACACAGAGTCCCTCAATATCGTACGAAGGGACTTCGGATTCACCATCTGTACATAGCTGAAGCATTAGCTATTCGAGATCTAAAACCGGACCTCTGCATACAAAAGCGATACATACATTCTCTTGCCTTAACATGGCCAGAGTAAAGTTCTTATCACAATTTTGCTTCTTTCCTTAATTATGTAAGTTCACTATTATTACCATTATTATTTTATTTTATTAATACTTTTATTATCATTTTGTCCCCATCATCCACATTTTATTACCACTCTATTACTGTTTATTAATAACATTGCTTTTTCATACATATTTTATACAAAAACACTTTATAGCCTTTCCACTAGTTCCTGTAGATGAATGAAAATGGAGAACTCTTCGCCGACTTCTGCGCCTTCAATGAACTAGTGATTGGTGGCAGCGTATACAAACACAAGGATATTCACAAGGCTACATGGGTGTCACCAGATGGGCGAACCAAAAACCAAATTGACTTCATCACAATCTCGAGGAAGTGGCGGCGCAGCCTACTGGACACAAAAGCAAGAAGAGGAGCAGACGTTGGCTTAGACCACTACCTCGTACAAGGAACAATCCAACTCAAATTAAAGGCTTTCAGAGAAACAGGAGCTGCAGATAGACCACAAGCCAAGTTCAACACTCAAAAACTAAAGGACCAGGATACAAAGGATATCTTTACTGCAAGTATAAAGGACAAAGCTGAGACACAAATCAACATTAGGGAAGAGGTTAGCGTCGAAAAACACTGGAACAACCTGAAAACAGTATGGAGCGAAACCTGCATGGAAGTTCTGGGCAGAAAGAAGAGACAGGACAAACCGTGGCTCACTACGGACACTTGGAGGCTAATAGAGGAGAGAAGGATGGTGAAACAAAAAATTCTGCAGTGCACCGACGAGCAACAGAAACAGGAGTTGAATGTAAGCTACAATACACTGAACAAAGGAGTAAAGAAGAGTGCCAGAGAAGACAAAAGAAAGTATTATGAAGCCATGGCCAATGAAGCAGAACAAGCTGCAGGCAAAGGAGACCTCGCAACACTTCACCAAACAACTAGGTACCTTTCAGGCAAAAATTCGTCACAAATTAAGCCAGTGAAGGATGAAAATGGAAAGTCAATCACCAAAGAAGTGGAGCAAAGGAAACACTGGGCTGAACACTTCAAAAGACTACTAAACCGACCGCCACCTACAACGCGCCCAACAATACCAACAACGGAAGCAGAATTACCAGTGAACATCAACCCCCCGACGAAATCAGAAGTCCTGAAGGCAATCAAGATGCTGAAAGCTGGGAAAGCAGCAGGACCAGATGGAATCCCCGCAGAAGCATTGAAAATGGACCCAGAGACAACAGCAGACTTGATGACGCCATTACTGGAGAAGGTGTGGAAAGAAGGCAAAGTACTCGAGGATTGGAAGAAAGGATACCTATTCAAACTACCAAAGAAAGGAGACTTAAGTCAATGCAAGAACTGGCGCGGAATTATGCTCCTTTCCATCCCAAGCAAAATACTAAGCCGCATCATCCTGGAAAGGATCAAACAAGCCTTGGATGAAAAACTTCGACCAGAACAAGCTGGATTCAGGAGTAACAAGTCATGTATTGATCAAATCGCCACACTACGGATCATCATTGAACAAAGTTTGGAATGGCAGTCACCTCTCTATCTCAACTTCATCGACTTTGAAAAGGCCTTCGACAGCGTCGACCGAGAGGTGATTTGGCAACTACTTCGCTACTACGGGGTGCCGCCGACAATTATACATCTCATCCAACAGTTGTATGACAACGCTGCATGCCAAGTAATCCACAACGGGAAGCTCACGGAATCCTTCGAAGTGAAGACAGGAGTAAGACAGGGTTGCCTACTATCGCCAATGATTTTCCTGATTGCAGTAGACTGGATAATGCGACAAACAGCGGGCAATGAGGAAACAGGCATAAAATGGACTCACACAAAGAACTTGGAGGATCTGGACTTCGCCGATGATATATGCCTGATTTCCCACAAACTGGAAGATATGCAAGTGAAAAGTAACAAGTTGGCAGAAGAAGCATCAAAGATAGGACTCCAGGTGAACATAGAAAAAACAGAGGTGATGAAGATCCCTGGCCAACACCAACAACAACAACAGACAGCAATCAGCATAAATGGAAAAAACCTGAAAGAAACTACCTCCTTCACCTACTTGGGAGGCATTGTTTCAACTACAGGCGGAACTGACGAGGATATCAAAGCAAGGATCGGGAAAGCAAGGCAAGCTTTCATTACTCTGAAGTCTGTGTGGAGCTCAACAGTATTCAGCGTCAAAAATAAGATCGGGATTTTCAACTCCAATGTGAAGTCAGTACTACTATACGGATCAGAGACTTGGCGTGTCACAAAGAGCACCTCAAACAAGCTACAGACCTTCATTAACAGATGTCTTCGCTCAATACTCAAGATCAGATGGCTGGAAAGGATCAGCAACAAAGATCTCTGGGAGCGAACCAACCAGGAACCCATTGTGAAACAAATAGGCAGGAAAAAATGGAGATGGATTGGCCACACTCTGAGGAAACCAGCAAGTGACATCACTAGACAAGCCCTCGAGTGGAACCCGAAAGGGAAGCGGCGAGTTGGTCGTCCAAGGGTGACCTGGAGGAGATCATGTGAAGAGGAGATGAAAGCATGTGGGCAGACCTGGAGCCAGGTGGAAACTCTAGCAGAGAATCGAACGCAATGGAGACGCATGGCTGAAGCCCTATGTTCCTCTAGGAACTAAAGGAAATAATAATAATAATACTAGTTCCTGTCCATTTTACACGAGATTATTGATTATTCACTATCTCACACTTATTAAGTCATGCCAACTTCTGTCTCCTTTCTAACTTACAATTAGTCATCCCTTCTTACACCTTACATTATGTAATACAGTCTTCCAAGGACAAAATTTACCAGTATCTGACTGGTCTAAAGATTTCTTTGTTAATTATAATTACGATCGTACAGCTCATGAAAATGAATCGTCGAAAAGAAAATTTTCTTCGCTGTTTGTGCCTTTTTCTTATACCAGAATATTTTAACTTCTTGATGTAGAAAGTAAGACGGAATATTTTCTTAGAAATCGCCAAGATATGAGACGACCAGGAAAGATCAGAAGATAGAATGACGCCTAAGTATTTAATTTCCGACTTGGTTTCTGTTTCAGTGGATTTGCTTCAAACAATATTATCGATACAGTATGGAAATGTTAGCATGCCATAGAATATTGAATCTGATGTTCTCTTGATATAGCATGGTGAAGGGAAAAACAAAAAAATAACAGTTATTACACAGCTTAAATGATATTTGCAATTGTGAAAAAATAAACAAAAACAAAAATTGAGAGGATTATGAATATTAGAAAAACAAAAACAATAGCGACTTGCCCTATTCAGGTAAGTAGTTACCTGGGGTTCTAGTGAGAAGTCGTGACCAGTAGGGTGCAGCAGGTTGGGTGTGAGGACAAATACTCGCCGAAGACATTGGCTAGGGGTCGCGCTATGTCGTGAATTGGAAGAAGTTAGAATTCATGGACCATTGGATCGGGTCCCAGTGGCTTAATGAGTTACGAGCTCGCCTTGTAACCAGAAGGTCCTGGGTTTGAATCCCGGTGGGTGCATACTGCTGAAGAGTCCCAAACTAGGACGAAATATCTGTCCAGTACTTCCAGGTTTTCCAATGGTTCTCTAACTAATGTCAGCTCATGATAAAAATCATGAATGACTGCAGGAAACAGAATGAAACAGAGATACATCAGCGAAACCCTAGATCCTATTCAGAACCTTAGGGAATAATAATTAACACTGAATATTTCTCAACCAAACAACAGACCTAGAATCCGACATAGTCTTAGTTTAATCAATAATGCCTAGATCCGTGATCTGATTCTTAATCTTTTTTTATTATCTGTAACGCAAAATATTTTCACCTGGTAAAACATGAAAACATGACCTTAATAAACATGAGAATATATGTGTATATTGTTGAAACTTGTATACAAAATTCGTGATTAATAGCAGTAAGGGTAGGTTGTTAATATTGAACACATTGAAAATATCATTCGTTTACTATTCTGCGAAATAAAATATGAACACAGTCTTATTATTCCTATTATTATTATTATTATTATTATTACTAATTACCATTAAAACATTCGTGTGTTTACGATTCTACTGAAAAATTTAACATGTAACAGGCTGTCCAATTTATAGGGTATACAGTGTGATATAAAATCACACTGTTCGGAGTGGATTTTAATTTCGCGCACAATTTTTCAACTTTCTTAACTAACATTACTGGTGACAGTTGTAATATTGTTATACAAATGTTATTTAGATCGGATACTAATCCTATTGTATTAAGCATTTTATTGTTGCATATATCATTATTATTGTTGTATGTGGTAGTCTTTACTGATGGTCAACATGTGAAACACGAAGAATATACATGTCCTTATCTATGGATGCAATGGAAACAAAGACGTACACTTGGTTGGATATGCGGTTCTGTACCATTTCTACAAACAAAGTAAGTATTATATATTTTTTTGAATTGGATATTAGAAAGACGGATTTTAGAAAGGAAGGTGGCATATTTGAAAATCGCGCGATAGTATCCGATGGTTTCAAGCAGTTTAGCTCGTTGTTTTCCGTCGAAGTGTTGAGTGTACTGACGGCATCACCCCTTCTATGGTGTAAATGATTGACCTGCAACGACCTTAACCCATTTCATTTGGCTACTTTCAGCATTTTCCTTCTTATCCGATATCACTGGTGCTGCCAGAACTTCCGTTACAGTGGTATGCACACAATATTTCTTGGGAATAGTGATCTTCGGGGTGAACGGGCTTGAGGATTGCTGTTGTGATAAGTGTATTATATCTTCTGAACTAGATGACTGTTTATCATAAGGACGCCAGCCATCAGTAGATTCCAGGCTCTTGACATTTCGTCTTCGTTCAGACTCCAGCACCGGCCACACTATGGCATTCTCTTGTCTGTCAGTGACACAGAGGTAGAGTGCTCGCTGACCAGGCAGGTAGTCCGGGTTTCGATCCCCAGCCACTGACGCACTCCTTCACCTCACTTAGCCAGTAGTAAGACTGGTAAAGCGGGAAGGTTGGGCATGAGACTGGCTAGCAACCCCATCTTTTAAAAATAATCACCACTGCTACAGAAACTGCAAGACTCTAGCTTAAAGCGCTATGCTCTACTGGGAGCGTAAAGGAATAAAAAAAAGCAATCTATAATGGAGTAGCAAAACACCGAAATAACTATATTAGTAACAATCAGAAACAAAATAGGAAAGGGATACTCAAGGCAATCACACTACGAAACGAGGTACGCTGCTTGAAACCACCGGATGCCATCGTATCATCTTCAAACTTTCTACCTTTTCCTTCTAAAATCCCACTTAGTACATTGATATTGTTTGCGTTGATAAGATATTTGTGTCTATATAATGAAGTCATTGTTCAACGTAGATTTCTTTACGAAACAAAACCAGTTATAGATCACTAAAAATCGGGGGGTACTGGACAACTGCCTGTTTTGTCCCAGTTTGGGACCCTTCAGGGGCGTAAATCCGTTATCTTATGAGGGATTGGACCAAGGACTGATAAAGTACTGATTACTTGTAAGTAGTATTTACTAGTAATCACACTTTTTATCACAAATTCTTAGAAGCAAACGAAATCGAACCCTTGAATTGCAATACAATCGAGAGACTTCGAACTTGAAATAATCGGGGAGATTTGTAGCTCAGAGTTGGATGACTTTGATTTAGTTGTGTGTCTTCTAAGCTGGCTGTCCTGCTCCTAGACAATAACAACAACAACCAAATCGAAACTTTGAACTTGCTTAAAGCGCTGTCTGATGTTCAGTGAGTCCCCGCCAGAAATTAGCTTGATATTTAGATTGCATATAAGTGTTGGTTTTGTAGCGATTTGATTGATTTCAACCACTGAAAATCAAGGAGTTTTGTTTCGTCCCGTTTCGGGACTCTTCGGTGGCACGTCTCCGTAGCGCAATCGGCGATCAAAAGACAAAACCAATCCACGAAAAAATGAAACGTATTTGCAGTAGCTTATTTTCATGAAATTATTAACTTTAGGCTTTTTGTTACAAAATATGAAGCTGGGGATTGTTTATTATTGTCTTGGCCTTGATTTTCGATTGTTGATCTGGTGAAACGATAACAATCAAACTCAGTAACTAGAAGAATGTCAGAAGCTCACACTGCCCATCTGGAATAAAAGAAGCTTTTATACTATTTCAAAATATCAACATCTTATTTGTGCTATAAATCTCAGAATGCTCTTATAACATGTATTAGTTTCATGACATAACATTTTTTTTGAATATCCTTAGTGAACAAACAAAATAAGCAGTACAGGGAAGAGGTTCTTATCACGGTTGCATTCTATAATCTAGGGGATTTGATTGTAAAGCTGTCGTTGTCCTTTTAAAGAGCATGAGATGGACATATTTGAATTCTCCATGAGTGTTGATGTAGTTGTATCTACGAGTTGATCACGGATTGATATCAGTTAGAGAACCATTGAAAACCAGCTACAGGGAGTACTGGACAGCTGTTTCATCCGTCCTAGTTTGGGAATCATCGGCAGTACGCACCCACCCCATAGGGGGTTCGGACCCAGGACCTTCCGGTCACAAGCAAGCAAGCTCGTATAATATTCAGCCCCTGGGACCCTATTCAATGGCTAGCCCATGAATTCTAACTTTTACCAATTCGTGATTTAGCGCGACCCTAATCAATGTTATCAGTGGGACATCCATCCTCACACGTGACTGGATGGACCTTACTGGTCTCGACTTCTCACTAAAACTCCAGGAAACTCCATCCATGCGTACTGCCGATGATTCCTAAACTAGGCTGATGAAACAGCTGTCCAGTACTCCCTGTGGTTGGTTTTCAATGGTTCTCTAACTGATATCAATCCGTGGTCAACTCGTAAAAACAAAACTAACCCTTACAAACCAACTATAGAAAAGTAGTTGTATCTCCCGACAATCTTTGTCACGACTGGTTGTTAAGTTACATCAGTTCTGATGGTTTTTATTGACCTGGGATTTCAATTGTTTTATTATGTAGTGTATTCTTCATTATAGTTGGTAAATTTGATCTATAATAATGTGCCTCTGTCAATCGCTGATTTATCGTCTGAGCAGCAGGCGCATGAGAATTCTCTGGCATTACTTTCCATATTTCCACTTTTTAAAATCTCTACATTTTCTCAGTCAAATCGGCGTCCATAGTTGTCTACATGCACCAGCATGAGAGAATACATATGGTGTCTTTTGACAACTAATGTGTTTTCAGATTCGGAGTCGAATGAGGACTCCCATTTTCACCAGTTCATGGATAATTCAAATGAAATATAAGTATATAACCTAAGCACTGTGTCAGAGTGTAACTCCAATATGGACAAGATTTTATTTTGATAAATCACACAGTGTTGTACAGTAATATTAAATGATGATTACATTTTGAACACAATTTATTGCCACTCACTCAAGGCACTACTCACATAACTCACTTTCTTGCTTCATTTATATACACGAGTGAAATTGATGATTAGACAATTGAATAAAATCAGTAATATAAGATAAAGTACATTCAGAAATAATAATATGAGTGTTATCAATCAAATACAGTCAGATGGGAAATAAGATGTTTTACAGTAAAATAAATAAATAACTTGTTAGAATGTTATAATGTATGTGAATTGAAATAGGATCTTAAGATTATTTGTTATCCTCCTCTGATTTGACTGACTGGTGGTAACAATATCTTCCATATTTCTGGTATTTGCATTGAGTCACTTCTATTGCATGTGTTGGGTGTAGAGTCGATGGACCAAGCAGGATTCAGTAATCAATCTGCCTAGCTCTCCACCTACCTATATTACTCTTTAGAATTTTGACTCTGTCCAACCCAAACCACTGTGCGTGGGATACTTGAAATGCATTTAACGTGTATGCATCCAGTGACACCCGAATAGCATTCTGCACTCCTTTTTTGTTGATAACACGCACACCCGGAGAATTCTTCTTCGGGTACCTGAAACAGAAAGAGATTTCGTGTTGCGTGACCACAGAGCTCAAAGTACAACTGATTGAGGCCAGTTACACAAGGCCTGTATGAAATGGTTTCTTGGTTTGGTTCCGTATTAGTAAGCTAACCGCCAGTTACGGACCACTGAAGAGTAAGTCAGGATGTACAATTGTTGGGGTCGACCTCTCTCCGGAGTGGAGAGACAGCATAGCTGGCTAGCATACTAGTCATCTGAGGGTAACACCTCACTGCTGTTACAACCCTGTTCCTAACAATCATCTTGACATGGTAGGACCTATAGGAACAATAGTTCCAGTAGGTGTAGCTTGTTGGGTCATGGCAATGTGCAAGTCCGGCGACCACCACGTCAAGGTAGTAGCTATCGGTCGGGTCTCTGGCGTAGACGTGATATCCGGCTATTGACCAAATGACGTGTGTACTGCTCAGCAGTTTGCTCCGTCCTCCTTTATGGCTATGAGACCTGGTCATTGAGAGTGGAAGACATGAAAAGGCTAACTGTCCTTGATCATAGGTGTCTGCGTTCTAAATGCCGTATGAAGTGGAATAATAAGGTGAGCAATATTGAAGTTAGGCTTCGGTTGAGTGCTAGGTAAGGATGGAGGGGAAATCAATCGACGAGGCTGTGAAGCTACATCGACTGAGATGGTTAGGACATGTGTTACGCATACCTAGTCATCGCCTTCCTCGACGGGAGTGTGGCGACTTGAAATGCTGGACATCGATGCAAAGTTCTATGCTGAAAACAGACAGACATCCGGAGAACCATGATTTCCTAAAGTCTTTTCGGCAAATAAGTTTAACACGCTATTCTGTTTAAATATGTGTATGTATAGCTCATTTTAGCATATTTCTAAATAACTGAGTCATTTTGATTTAAAGAAAGAACGACTGGTGAACAACGAATATTCCTTTGGATTATTTCCTCTTCATCAGGTCGTTTAGCTATATGTCCACAATAATTAAAGAATTATTGGTAATAAGAACATTAATCAATTAAATAACATTGAATCAGTAATACCAAGAGATTACAGTTAGAAAGCATCTGTAGGCGATTTTTTTCATTCCTTCACGTTCCCAGTGGAACATAGGGCTTCAAGATAGAGGCTTGAAGTTTCAGTATCAGTGGTGTTTATTTATTCTTACGGGATGGCGTTGCAAGCCTCATGTCCATCCTTACCCCTTTACCAGCCGTATTACTGGTTTAGCGAGGTAAAACAGTGACTCACTGGCCAGGGATCAAACCCCGGAACATGTACATGGTCGGCGAGCATCCTAACCCCTGTGTCACCGACGCCCTATAATATGCTTTGCTATAATATGCATCGAAATAACAGTAAACTGATTATTAGATAAATCAAGAAAAGTAATACAGAATTGATGAATTTATAGGTCCCGACGCAGTTCAGGGTATCAACAGGGGATGAACTTTT